CCCGCGCCCGTATACCCGCAAAGTCTAATGCCGCGAAATTGACCCGGCCTGGAAAGACCCTGACGAAGCAGACAAGGCCAGAGCGGAGAAGAAACAAAAGCTGTACGAAGAGCGCATCGCAGCAGGCTGGAGCGAGGAGTCTGCACGACGAGGCGGATGGGGAGACGATGAATACAAGCCCGAGGACGGCGCTACCTGGGCATCAGCCACTGGAGCATGGGGAGCCAGCGGCAGCGGCATGGTTACCACTGGAGGCTGGGGTACGGAAGAAACAGCTGAGGCGGATCTCACACAAGAGGAGTTGGAGGAAGCAGAACGGGAGATGCGCGCCGAACGCGGAGAAGAAACACCCCACGCCGCCATACCCCTCGGCCGACCGCCACCTGCACACTCACCCCCCCGCTCACCATGGCGCTAGGACAGTACCTGGACGGAGCTTGAGGAGGGGAACGTACCTCCAACACCAGTCTGAGACTCCCTTGGTCCAATCTCCCGTCCAGATCCATTCGCCCGCTTCATCGAAGGCACAACAACACCGCTCACCATCATCCCCGACCGCGAATTTCTCGCCCTCTACCTTTCGACCGCAGCTGTAGAAGGGGAGACAACCGCAGAAGAAGAAGCAGAAGGAGAAGAAGACGAAACAGAACCAGGAGAAGAGGAGGAACCACCGCTCCAAATCCCGCAAGAGACAGAGGAGGAAGCAGCGGAGCATCGCACACGCTACATGCGCAGCAGTGGCATTCGCGCCGAAGACGATCTCTGGCACCAGCGACTCGCGCATCCCTCACGCCAGACCCTCGCCAACTGCCTCCGCGCCAAGGTCTTTCTCCCAGGATCACTCCTCCGCTCCGACGGCACTGAACCACACAACACCCCACACCCACTCACCTGCACCGTCTGCCCCACTGCAGCTCTCACAAACAACGCATATCCTTCGCTGGAACCAAGCACCAACCGCTACAAAAAACTGCAGAAGGTGTACAGCGACTTCATTGTACTCACCTGCGACGGACTCAACGGCGAAAAATACACGCTGACCTTCATCGACGCCTACTCACGCCACGTCTGGATCGCCAACGTCGACGCACGGTCCAAGGCTCCAGAAGTCTTCCGCATCTGGCTCGCACACGCACAGCGACAGTCAGGGAGGAAGCTGAAAATCTGGCAGAGTGATGGCGCCAAGGAGTTCCGCAGCAATGAGCTAGAGAGCATCCTCACCAAGAAGGGGATCAAGCATGAAATCTCCCTCCCCTACGCTCATCAGCAGCAAGGAGTCGCAGAGAGGGTGAACCGCACTCTCATGACGAAAGTGCGCGCCCTCATGAACCAGTCCGGCCTGCCCAAGAATTTTTGGCCTTACGCCATGAACCACGCGGTGCGCCTATACAACCTCCTCTCCACCACGGCCAACAGAGACAACCTTTCCCCGCACATGAAATGGACCGGCTCAAGGGGAGATCCCTCCATGCTGAGGGTTTGGGGGTGTATGGTGCAGTATTTGCCAACTTCAGCAAAAATCGGCAAGTTTGCTCAGCGTGCACGCTGGGGGGTTCATCTGGGGCTCAGCAACGAGCACAAGGGGTGGCTCATTCTTGACATCGACAGCAAGGAGATCATTCCAGCACGTGATATCCTCTTCTACGAACGACTCACCTTGAAGCAGTGGATCGAGGACGAACAGCGCAACCAAGCTCGCGGCTATGTCAACAGCGGTCGCAGCTTTGCATCTCCTGAGGATGAAGCGGCAGCAGCAGTCTTTGATCGCGACGACACCGACGAACAACCTGGCATCCCGCCTCGCCCCCGCACGGACGATGACGACGACGACAGCGACGACGCACCTGCCCCTGGACCATCCCGCCGCAACACCGCCCCAAGCACTTCCTCACCTGGTCACGAGAGAGACGATGATGACGTGGTGGAGGTCCCCATCACCGACACTACGGAAACCACGAACGTGTCCGGTCTGCAGCTTCTCTGCCTTCTCCGTCGAACCAAAGAACCCGCGCCAGGCCCTCACCGGCCCTCACGCTAAAGAATGGCGTGCAGCTATGGACGCCGAACTGAAAGCGCTGGAGTCTCGTGACACCTGGGTTCTCGTCGATCGTGCAGCAGTGAAGGGGAGGAGGGTGCTAAGCGGAAAATGGGTTTTTCGGCTCAAGACTAAGGCTGACGAAACCATCGAGCGCTTCAAGGCACGATGGGTCGTCTGAGGCTACGACCAGCGCCACGGCATCGACTTCGACCAAACTTTCGCTCCCATCAGCCGTCACACCTCCGTCAGAATCCTACTCGCCATAGCGGCTGCTAAGCATCTGCCACTGCGACAGATCGACGTGAAGAACGCATTCCTATATGCGTTGGTGGACGCAACCATTTTCGTGGAGCAGCCACATACCTATGGAGAAGGAGACCCCAGGGTCTGCCAGCTGAAGAAATCCCTCTATGGGATTAAGCAGGCGCCTCGTCTCTGGCAGCAGCACCTGCACAAAATTCTACTGGAAATCGGCTTCAGGCAGCTGCCGCACGACCCGGGAATGTACCGCCTCCACTTCAACGGCGATTACATCCTCCTCACCGTCTACGTCGACGACCTGCTCTACACTGGCACCTGCAACACGCTCCTTAACCAGTTTGAAGAGAACCTGGCGAAGCGCGTGGACATCACCATCAACCACAACGTCACTCAGTTTCTGGGCCTGAACATCACCTACGCGCCAGAAGCAATTCACCTGTCAGCTTCAAAATACGCAGAGCAGCTGGGAGAACGGTTCAACATCTCACGCGCACCACTCTCAACTCCCTACCGCAGCCCCAGCACCAACTACAAACCGGACAACAAGCCTCTGTCCCCCGCGGGGCTCCAACTGTACCAGCAGCAGCTGGGCTGCCTGCTGTTCGCATCTGTCACATGCCGACCCGACCTTTCGTACATCGCCAGCCAACTGGCACAGTACTCCCGCAAACCAGTAGCCGAGAACCAGCTGGACCTGGAGCGCGCCCTACAGTACTTCATCTCCACGCCTGACATCGGCCTCTCCTACTCCACGCTGTCAACAACATCCTTCAACCTCAACGGCTACGTGGACGCTGATCATGCCGCTGACCCAGCGAATCGACGGTCCCGAACCGGCTTCGTTTTCCGCCTGAACGAACTGGCCCCATCTCCTGGAATTCGCAGAAGCAGGAACTGGTTGCCCTGTCATCGGCCGAAGCTGAATACATCGCCGCGACAGCAGCAGTTCGCGAAGGCCTGTACCTGCAAGAGCTGCTACAGGAGGCGAAAATCCCAACCTCGCCCACCTTTCGCCTGCACTGCGACAACCAGAGCGCGATCAAGATCGCGAACAAGCCTGGGTTCGTGAACCGCACGAAGCACATCGCACTGCGGTACTTCTTCGTCAAGGACGAAATCGACCAGGGCAAAGTTGACCTCGCTTACTGCCCGACCACTGAGATGGCAGCCGACTTTCTCACCAAGCGTCTGCCACGTCAGCAGTTCAAGCACTGCTCCGACCTCACCGGAGTGGTCAAGCGAGTCAGCACCCTTCGCGTCCAGGAATGAAGGGGAGTGTTACGATATGAAGTTTTATGAGAAGGCATTCCTGTATGCTGCAGGAGCCGACTCTACCGAGTACGAAGTCGAGGAGTCAGAAGAGTCAAAGCAACACAGCAACCGTCTGACCAAGACCGATGCAGGCAGAAACATTTGAAGTGAAAAGAGCGGGAACAGGTTTGAAACTGATTCCCGCGCCGCACGGTTTGAATTTCGCTGCAATAAGGGAATGTACCCCTTAGAGTACATGGCTAGCCTAGGTCGTTTCGCATTCCTTTGTATTTCTATATAAACCCTATGTATGCATGCTATAATCAATCTCAGTCATTTACATTCACTCTGACCTGAGTTCACTACTTCCGCTGCGACACTACCTGCGATCAACCCTGAACGATCCTTTCGCTAAGTCACACTTCAGATTGTAACAGATGTTATAGTCTTACTGATGTGTGTCATATAGGGCACAACAATTAGGGTTAAGTATATGTACCCCAAGCAACCTTAGTCAAACAATCACTCCGTTCTTGACACTGCGCTGCAAGTGTACATAAGGAGCTGGTGATTCTGCAATATATACGCACTTGAGTAGCGAAGGGGGCCTTTTTGAGAGGGAGGGGGGCGTGGGGGGGAAAGGGGGGTAGTGTAAGGAATTTTCTTGACATTTCTTACCGCGTAGATCAACTCTGCGTATAGCGGCAACCCGTTTTTCGCCCATTACTGGTAACACGGCTTCGCCAACCTTCGCGCGCACTTTTCACCAAACCATGCGCTGCTAGCCCGACCATGTGGGCCTACACTTCAAGGCTAGCCCGAACCTCGACGCCAGCATCGCACTAGCTAGCTCGCATGCGCCGCGTTACCGTGTGCTTGTTTCGCGTAAAAGTATTCGCTCATGCCTTCGCTTATACTTACTTGTTTAACATCTTTGTGCAATTCTCGCTACTTCGTTCCATTGCGTACATAACAACTCCGCACATTTCTTTTTCCAACTCACTACAAAAACCAGTTTTGTGAGTGAGTTGTACAGAAGCTGGACTTTCAGAATCTTGTATTTGTTTGTCTCGTGTTTTCCGCCACTAGCGTGGACATTCGGACTGGCATTGGTTGGCATGGAACGCCCTGCCCATCCAGCGCCAGTGTCATCTGTCACCCCAAGTCCGCCGCCTTGCGCTTCGGAAATTGCGCCCAGCGACCCAAATCCTAGTCGCTGACCAATCACCATGCGCTGTTTGCCCCTCCGCGCTTCGTCGTCACGCCTCCCTTGTTCCTTCTCATCCCACCTGCCTTGCACACTCGCCTTCCGCTCCACCCCCTTCTCCTTGCCTTGCCCTGATGCAAAAAGCATGGAGGGGCTCATTCTTGACAAACCATCCACCATCTGCACATCTTTCTACCACAACCTTGTTGCCTGTCAATTGTGCCCTCAATCTCCGCAAGTTCTATGGCTTCGCTTGTCGCCGCTGCTCGCGTGGCGCTGGTCTTGGCAGTATTGCCGCTGGCCGCCATGGCGTCGCCCCCGTCGGTCATGTCCACCGTCATCTCCTTCTGCCCCGACGAGCACTTCTCCTGCGCCTCCCCGTCCACTGTTCGCGCGCCGTCCTCGCCCGCCGACTGCGTGCCCTTCTTTCCCAAACAAGCTGACGTGGCGGCCAGCTACGTCATCGTATGGGATGCTCAACGTGGAATCAGCGCACCGCATTCCGTCTGTCGCGAGCTCACCTTTTGGGACTCGCCCGACTGCGCGCGCTCCTCCGCGTCCTTTTCCGTGAACATGCCCGGAGAGCTCCTCTCCCCGCCAGGCACTACCCCTCCAGAAACCATAGCGGCCGCGCGTCGGGCGGAGGCTCACTCGCACAGCGCAACGAGCGGCTACTTCGGCCCCACTCCTACGTACGCCTCGATTGGCTCCGTGAGTTGCGCTCAAGTGGACGAGATTGAGCCGCTCATCCAGGGGGAATCCGCGCAGCAGCCTCTGCCCGTCACCACGGTCTACGAGCCGGCTGCTGACGGTGGCGCTTGTTCCTGCAGTGCCATGCCCACAGTCGCCATTGTCTCTCTGTCCGTCGCCGCTTTCTGCGTCGTTTTCGCCGTCGCTGCCATCGTGTTCGCACTCACTGTCGTGCGACACGCGAACCGTGTGGCCGACGACGCTGCGGCAGCAACGGTGGCAGCAGCAACGGCGAAAGGAGGCGCGAAGGGCTCGATGACGGACGAGGCAGAGCCGCTGTCACACCACGGCGCGCTGGCGGGCGTTTTGAGTGGCGGAGGGCTGCTGGGAACAGCGCGCGTGCACGACGTGAAAGGCCATGAGGATCCGGCTGGAGCTGTATGAAGGTACGAGCTAATGCGACGAACGCCACTATCGTCCCGCATAAGCACGAATGAAAACGGTTTCAAAACAAACATGCGGACAGCACAATTGGCACATGCGTTAAGGAATAACCAACATCGCAGCGGCCCTCGGAGCCTTCTCATAGTACCAAGATGAAATTCACTTGAAAATCTTTCCTTTTTTGCAAGCTCCTGCCTTTGACCACCTCAAATAAGTTCATCAGCTCCATCTGCCTTCGTCCTCACTCTCTATCTCCCGGCCCCTCTTCCTCAATTCCTGTCGTCCCTCGTTTATTCATCTCTCATCCCACCAGCACTCGCCTTATACCCTTCACGTCTGTTCTCGGCGTCAAGTCGAGCATTCTTCCACCCTCTTTTCTCATCACCTTTTCCTCCCTTTTCTTCTTCCAGCAGCTAAGCTTTTGGCATCTCCTTACTAGGCACTGCCTTTGACCGTGTATGTGCTGACGTACTGGCTTTCAGAAGGGCTGGCTTGAAGAGGGGACTTCGCAAGAAATCTTGTTGCGGATATAGCCTAGTGGTTCACCATTGTCACGCCTAGCTGGGTGATGTTCATAATTGCCTGGAAGGGCCCAAAGTGGTTATTCGCTTCTTAAATAGTACAGTGGCTGTGGCAGGTGCCTTAAGTTGAATTTTTTACGGACAGGATTAGTGTAGATGTTGGTGTTACACGAACCACCACCTTAAGAGCATGTCACCAAGGTTTGATTCTATCAGGGTAATTACCGTACCCTGATTTCATGGTGATTACAGGCTTCTCACCTGGTGGTCCCTGCAATTTCAGAATTTCTGACTTGTGAACACTGAGGGCGTATCTTGGGTTTGGGTCATGAGCACCGTTCATACTAGTGTACAGGACATCCGCAAATAGCGCATGACCCAAACCCCCAAAGCGCGCGCGATTCAAACCTTGGGTCATTCTCAGAATTGCATGCGACCGTCAAACAAAATGTAACCTCCACCAATCACAGTGCTGTGCGACCCCATGTAAATCAACCCCTCTGTATGCTGCCGTTCGCTAGAGGTGTACGCCCGTCAATGTGGCAATGTCATAATAACTAGGTAACCTTAGGAGGCATGGCTTAGGCTTAGGAGGAAGACTAGGAGCTAGGAGATGGTATCGAAAGGTTTTGTCAAAGGAGGGTTTCATTATGGAATGAGGAGTACAAATAGGAACAAGAGAAAGGGGAGAAGGGTACACCACCAGCAGTTGATTCTAATACCTAAACTAGTACACTAACAAGCTGTAGGCAGTTATAAGATATGCAATATAGTTCAACACACCCCCGTAACCGCCTACGGCTTTAGTTAGTGGTGTCTGGCACCAGGTCGCCTGGAGAGCGGTTGCTGTAGCTGGGATAGGCACAGAAACAGCGGTGGCTGAACAGCAGCACCTGTGAACGCCAGAACGGAGGGCGGAGAGCTAATTTGGAGGGCGTAGGCTGCCGGTGTTACACACCAACGGTTGGATAGGAGGAGGAAGCCGGTGGTGTACATGAGGCGGATGAGAGGAAGAGGAAGACGCAGGAGAGGCGGCTCGAGAGGAACAAACTAGCGGAGGAGGAGGTGGCTGGAAAACGGGGAGGAGAGAGGAGGAGGAGAGGATAGGAAGTGCAGCGGAAAGAGGAGGAGAAGGGGAGGCGGCTGCCTTCAAATACCCGCCACCCCCACACCCTCTCCCCCCCCACCCCCCCCAACGCGGCACGCACTGCAGATGCACGGGCAGCGATGAGGAGGAGGACGAGGGAGGGGCGGGAGGGTTCAAGGGGGCTTAAGCACCCCCGTAGCCGCGAGCGCAAGCTCCGCCACCTCCTCCCCGCAATGGCCACCATCGAAAAGCGCGGCAGCAGGTGGGGAGGCGGGGAGAGACGTGGCCATGGCGGGGGCGCTGGCGAGTTCGCTGACGCGCTGGCGGACTCGCTGGCGTGTTGGCGAGCGTGCGCTGCAGTGCGCGCGCACTGCTGCTGGCTGGCCGCTGCGTTTGCCGAGGCGCTCATCACGAGCTGGTGGCGATGCCGCTGGCGATTTCGCCGGCGATGTCGCTGGCGATTTCGCTGCCGATGTCGCTGGCGATTTCGCCAGCGATTTTGCTGGCGTTTTGCAAGCGAGCGGGTTGACGAGCTCGTGGGCAGGGAGCGCCATAGCGAAAACCGTTAGTGGGCCCATTGAGAAAAGGAATCGTAGGCTAGGACCGTAACCGCTCTGATACCATGTCATAATAACTAGGTAACCTTAGGAGGCATGGCTTAGGCTTAGGAGGAAGACTAGGAGCTAGGAGATGGTATCGAGAGGTTTTGGCAAAGGAGGGTTTCATTATGGAATGAGGAGTACAAATAGGAACAAGAGAAAGGGGAGAAGGGTACACCACCAGCAGTTGATTCTAATACCTAAACTAGTACACTAACAAGCTGTAGGCAGTTATAAGATATGCAATATAGTTCAACAGGCAAGTACACCACAATCCTGCAAAACATCCCAACTGCAAGACATGTGCAATCGCAACAACCAGAAGCACGTCAAGCACACCAAACACAGCTGCACAAAGACCGCCCTGTATACTAGCACGTGCGGCTCCACGCCCGAGTCGCCAAACTGCACCCGCTCTGCCAGCAAGGCTGCAGCTCCGCCACGCTAAGCAAACCAGCTCTAAAGGGGAGCCAGAAACCCTAGCAGCCTTCCGCACCGTCGCCATAAACCATGGTCACCCCACAGGTACTCATACTATGTGTGGCATTACACCTCTGGCATGAGTACCTTCTCAACACCTGGCAGCGTGTAGTATCTCTCGCCTCTCTTGAGTGCATTACCACCATCCTACCGATGGCCCAGGCAGAGGATGAGGAGCGTCTGCGCCGTGAAACCGCACGCCGTGAAAGTCGGAAACGCCGTCGAGAGGCACGTGTGGCGGAATGGGTGGAGGAGATCCGCGCCATGTTTGACGAGGAATTCGAAGACACCTTCCGTATCACGCGGGAGGTGCTCGACCTCATCGCGGAAAGGATGGCGCACCCCATGTCCCGCTTTGTCGAGTTCAACCAAGTCCCCTTATCACTCTGTTGCCTAATCCCCATCAAGTATTTTGCGAGTGCAATGACGTATCACGACATGAGTTTCATGTTCGGCTTGCCCAGGGGTCTCATCCATCGCCTCGTGGACTGCTTTTTGGTCTGGTTCCCGCGCAAATTCAAGCGCGACTGGGTACAGGTCCCTGCTGAAGAGGTGCGTGAGGAGATGGCGCTGGACTTCCGCGCCATCAAAGGTGTGCCCAACGTCATCGGGCGATAGACGGAACACACATTGAGATACGAGGCATGGATGCTCACCGGGGAGACTACTACAATCGCAAATCTGTCTACAGTATTCAGCTACAGGTTGCATGTGACTCGAAAGGCATCATTTGGGACTACACGGTGGGCAATCCCGGCTCCATGCATGACCAGGGAGTTTTCTCTACCTCTGAACTACATGGCAGGCTAGAGAGTGGGGAAATCGCCCCCTATCAGCTGGTGGGGGACGCGGCATATCCACTGAAGTCATACATGCTAACCCCCCTCCATGCACCCCGCCGCCGCCTTATGAAGAAGTGGGAGCACACCTTCAAATACGTCCAGTCGGCGACGCGGATGGTGGTTGAGCGCACGATCGGCGCACTGAAGGGCCGATCGTTTTGAGATCGTCCTTTGTAGTCCATTTGGTGGCAGCGAGCGTCGTCAGCTCCACATCCGACCACTGCCTCTTGTTGCTCGTCGGTTTAGGCCGCTTCTCCTTTTTCGAGGCACGTGTGCTGCGATCGTCGCCGCTCCCATCGCCGTCCGACTCTTCCTCCTCCTCGTCACTTCCATCCTTGTCGTTGTCGGAGTCGGCGTCGCTATCCGATTCCGAGACGATCTCTTCGAGATCGTCATCACTGACGTCGGTGTCGACGCCCTCTTCGTAAGCAAGCCGCGACGCTCCGCTGGTAGACGCGCTTGCGGAGTCGCGCTTTGACTTGGATAAGCGTTTGATGGAGGGTGTCGACTTCCCCTGTTTCTTCTGCTCCTTTATCCAAGCGACGTAAGGAGGGTCCGCCATCGGCTCATCGTCAGTTGCTTTCTCCTTTCCCTTGCCACGAGTGCTATGGCGTGGCGGCATGGCGTCTCTATCTGTACGTGCGCGGAGTAGGATTCTGCTTCTTGTTGCTCGTCGGCAGTAAGTGTGTCTCACAGATCTGGTTGTGGGTAGTGCTTGTGATGTGTCTCATGCTGAAACCCTAGTGTGGGGAATCTGCTGTTTGGGAGATGGGTTGGGATGGGTTTTGGAACCGCGCAGATCTGAATGTGACCCTTCCCACTAAGAATTTTGACGGTGGCGTGGGAGGGGTCAGTGGGCCTCACGGCCTGTGGTTGTTCGAGTTTGTGCATGTACGACTCGGCCCAATTGGAGGCGACGTGTGTTACCACTTTTTTTTCTGGCGCGGAGATTTGCGCGCCAGACAAATTGTCGCATGGGGCGATTGACTCGAGGATGGTGTTGCGTGTAGTTCTGGGCATCCGCAATTAGCGCATGCCCGGAGCAGTGCTCGTGACCCAAACCCAAGATACGCCCTGATCCATTCAGAATAGGTAGTGCTTTAGCGAACCTTGAAATATTGTATCTAGGCTCAGAGTAGTGTTCTTACTGACTCTGTCAATGTAGAGTACGCGTTCTGTGGACTCTCGATTTGACCTTATTGGAAAGAATTTTCCCGGAAATTTCCTTCAGATAACCCCACCTTCAGATTGATTGCAGTACAATCAGAGCGTGAGCTGTGCGCGGCAACATGTCTGACAGGTGAACACACTCTACGTACCGTATCACCCCGGATAAAAGCGCGTGCTATTAAAAGCGCCGGCGCTTCTATCTGGAGCCATGCGCTTATGGCCGGTCCTCAATTATAAGCCGCCCCCTAGAAAACATTTACTTATTATAAGCGTATGTACAATTTTAATATAAATTTCTGTT